GAAATGAGAGATCATGGGATATGTCATGTGATATTAATGGACGAATTACGGTTCTTTAATCGGAAAAGGGGGGAAATCGGGAAAAAATGTGGAAATTTTGTATTTAGCTTTATTCTGTGTTGTGTGAAACAGTGTTGTTTAATTTTTGGATCCCATGGCCCTAAAGTAAATTCGAAATGGGTATTTAGGCATTGTGATAAAGAGAAGTTTGCTTTTTATTTAGCGAAGGAAGTATGGAGGAAAAATTCGCAGAAAAAATCTTTCAATAATTTTATTGAATGAATTAGAAAAGTGTATCCGCCACGTAATCAAGATTCTGAAGAAGATTAGGTAAGTTAGTATTTTTAATTATTTGAGGATATTATTTTTATGCATTGTTCTAAATGTAAGGTGGAAAGCAATTTGGTATTATTGGGAAAATTGTTATTAGCAATGATTTATTTTAAAGTAATTAGGATTGTAAAGTAATTTTTATTATTTAATGTATGTGCTCATTTATATTTAAGTAGTGTTTTTTTTGAATTTAATTATATTTTAATGAAATGATAGTTATTTTGTGAATTTTATGTTTGTGAATTTGGTATACTTTAAGTTGAAATAAACGTGCATGAAATAATTTGAATATTTGATACTAAGTATTTGTAATGCTTGTGGTATGAATTCGTTGGTGACGTGTATAATGTAATAGATGATTTAGAGGTAAAAGTTTTTGGATATTTTATATTTATTTTATATGTGGAAATGTACATATTTGTAAAGGGTAAATACTTTTTCGCGATCAGGTAATTTCATATATGTTCTTTTCACCCAGGTTTAAAGATTGAGAAAATTGTCATGTATTTTGTGAAATTTTTGTAATTTATGAGAAAAAAGCAGTGTACATGGATATAGTTGAAGATGTGCGCAATGTCATTTTTGTGCAATTCTGGATGTTTTTTTTAAGTAAAAAATAAGTTGACGTGTACATGGTTTAGTGATATTTTAATTAAATGAAGTTATTTTTTGTGAATTTTAACGTTTGTAGGAATTTGGTATAAGTTTAAGTTGAAATAAACATGCATGGAAATAATTTAAATATTTGAATACTAAGTATTTGTATGCTTGCGGTATGAATTCGTTGGTGACGTGTATAATGTAATAGATGATTTAGAGGTAAAAGTTTTTGGATATTTTATTTATTTTATAAGTGGAAATGTTCATATTTGTAAATGGTAAATACTTTTTCGCGATCAGGTAATTTCATATATGTTCTTTTTACTTACCGGGTTTAAAGATTGAGAAAATTGTCATGTATTTTTCGTGAAATTTTCTAATTTATGAGAAAAAAGCAGTGTACATGGATATATGAAGAGTGTGCGCAATGCCATTTTCGTGCAATTCTGTGATGTTTTTTAAGTAAAATAATCGCCGTGTACATGGTTTATGTGTATGTGTTATTTTGAAAAACGCGTAAGGAGTATGGTACTGTGCACTTTTTCCCCAATTTTGCAGTGAATATTTGTCATGATTAAGCAGTTTTGTTTGATAAAATTTCTAGCATAAGTGTAATTCGGCTACTAGATTGTTGGAAGAAGTGTTCAGTAGATAAAAAGAAAAGAAACATGTCTTTACTTCGTGAAGACAAAATGGCGGTGGGGATAAAAAATAGAGGGTTGCTGTAGGAGAGTTGGTTGCCAAATTTTCGCCAAAAAATCGCCATGTTACCGTAATGTAAAGATCAACCATGACTATGAAGTAAATCTTCATTTACATACCAGTCAAGTAATGCTCTTTTTCCCTTTCTTTCCAAATCATATAGAAACTTCAAATTAATCTTACCACATTCAGCCATTTTACCATCTAAACCACAAAATAAGCAATATACTCCCTAAATGATACACACACACAGACAAGCTCTTATGAATTTACTGCAATCATGCAACCGATTATGCCATAATAGGGTTTCTATAACATTCAACTACTCAGGCTACCATAAATGAAACAACTTTGTGATAATACAAGGGATACCCCTCTCTCTGCTCTAACCAAATTATCCTATGGTTACGACGTCACAACAGAAAAAGATCTATAAATACACTGGTTATCATAAATTAAGGAAAAATCACAAAAATAGCAATAACTCCCTCAAAAATGAGCCAAACAGTATAAAATTCGAATCTGTTGCCAAGTAAGAGTAGCTAAATAAAACTGCAATATGCAAATTAATGGCACTGCACACGGAATATGTCATCTGCGAGGAGAATAAAAGTCCATGTTTGAGAGCACGCCCACATATTTCACTGTGATAGTGGCACCAGAAATCTGAGATAGCCAATTCGTAACAATGACCTCCAGGCATCATTTGCTGCAGAACTACGATGGAGAGCCATTGGGAGACTAGAGGCAGGATAAAGTCAAACAGAAGTGGCCAGATGGCTAAATGTGAGTCTTTCTGTGGTTCATAGACTTTGGTGGCAGTTACAAACCACAGATTCGCCCTCTAGGAGGTTCTGCAAAGGACGGCCAATTGCTAAGACGAGCGCTGATGACATTATGTGCACATTTGACATTATGTGCACACAGGAATAGAACCGCTACTCCTACTCTTCTTAGATCCTCCCTTGCTGCAGCCACCAGAAGGTTGGTGTTAACGTCAACTGTGTGCAGAAGTCTTTATGAGGGTGGTCTGTATGTGAGACGACCAGCCATTTGCGTGCTGCTCACGTCACGCCATAGGAGGGACCGTTTGCAGTAGGCACGACGACATGTCCACTGGACGCTTGATCCGTGGAGAGCTTTATGGATCTTTATGGATTTAAGCCTCTTTATGGATGAGTCCAGGTTTAGTCTAGAAAGCGATAGTAGGCGTTATTTGATATAGAGAGAACCTGGAACCCGTTATAGCGCCCACGTGCCAGGGCAATAGGCGATGCTTTTCTGTTACAGGACGATAACTCAAGACCACACAGGGCTCACATCTTAGATGATTATCTTCAACAGGAAACAATTATGTGCAAGGAGTGGCCAGCTTGATCCCCGGACTTGAATTCTATCGAGCACGTTTGGGATGATTTAGAGAGACGTCTAGCTGCTCTCAGTCTGCCCCATTAGACCTTTGCCACACTTGCAACTGCTTTGCAAGAGGAATGGCTCTCATCACTTTTTTCCTATAGAACTGAATGTAGACTTCATTTGCGGGATTTATACAAGACACCTAATTTTTTTCATTTGATACTTGAATTTTCTATACTACCATAATTGGTAATTTTTTTTTATGTTAATTTGATACCTTGTTGTATATTGGGTCAAGCATAATAATGTATTTTTCAGAATTGGATGTTCATTTTTAAACTGATATGTAGTACTACTTTTGGATTTTAGTGGAATAATTAAAGAAGTCACACAAAAATTTAAATTTGTTTTTTTTTTTGAACAATCTCTGTAACTCTTATAACATGAAAAAAAAAAAAAAAAGAAAAATTAAAATTATCTCAAATTTGGTATTTTTTTTAAATTTTTTTTATTTTTTTTTTATTTGTAAACCCCCAGTACAACCTGTAGAACCAGCTATACATATTAAATGGTTGGATCCTAGCAGAGCCCACAACCTTGACGCGAATGATTTTGGTTATGGCGCATATCAATGTTTACATGGAAAAAGTCAAAGGAGTATGCAATGCCAAGTTTGTGCAGTTCTCTGATGTTTTTTTAAGTGAAAATAGGTTAATGTGTACATGTATACCGAGTTACTGGAATTCCTTGACTTGTTATTTTCAAGTTCGCGAAACGCGTGAAGCAATGCGAACTTTCCCAGTTTGTTGCCAAGGGGTGTGGGCTCTCCTAGGATTTTACCTATTAAATAATTGATTGACAGACTGTTTCATCCTATATTTCAAAAACTGTGTTGAACAAGCATTTCTTTTATGGAAGGAATGAAAATAAAGAGTTCAGAATTTTATTACAGAATAATTATAGTTAAATGTCTTATTAAATACTTTTTTTAGCCTAATAAAATAGCATTAAGGAATAAATAAGGTATTCGCAGTTTCTGTTATTAGACTGTCTGAAGGTTAATACTAGATGAATAAAAATATAATCTAGGAATTTAAGAAAAAATTCAAGAGTCCACACGAAGAATTTGGTTTTGTGAAAGTCAAATTTGCTTTTTGTATTGAAATTAGATATGGGATCAACATTTCTAAATGAATTAAGATTCAAGTTTGAATAAAAATTGTCTAGTATTTTGATAATATATATCGGAAAAATGGTGATTGTTAATTTTAGAATACTTTAGAAAACCAGAGATACGAATATAATAAAATTTCACAAATATGATAAAACTGTGAATAGGAGTCTGTTGTTTCCATTTATGCAAAAATGTCAAAAAATTTACTTATTTAATACGCAATTTACAACACCGACTTAATTTTCGACAATACTGTACGTAAAAATCAAAATGTGAGATAAAAAAAAAATCTAAAGTAGAAATACAAATAAACCTACTTACCACATACACAGAACAAAACGAACATAAAATCGTTCGAAGAAAATTGGCGAGAGAAATCAAATCTAGTAACAAAAGAAATAACTGGCCAATGAGGATTGAGAATAATTTAAGCAGACGATGCAGTTGTGTTGACGGTTTCAGGTAAGAATATATATATATTACATATTCCCTTTGGAAAAAAAAAAAAAAGTAAAAATGGAAATATTTTTAATTATAAACAAAAATTTTTATTTATTTGGGAGGACTAATATTTAACTTTTGTAATTTATATACATCATTCTGTAGTCTAAGAATTAATAAATAGATGGGGTGAAATTAAAATAGTATTTACTTTATATCATTCGAAAAGCATCATTTTAATAGGTAATTATTAAGTAAAATAGGTATTTAAAATCTAATATATGTATTGAATACATTAACATGCTAACTGCGTATTATCTAGCGTATTAATCATTTGACATTGTAGAAAAGCTGTGGGAAAAAATTTGGGTTTAATTAAATCGCCGTTTTCGGCTTTTGTTGGTGGTCTAGAATTCTGTAGTATATATGGTTTGCGGATCTATAAAGAATATGTTTATAGGTTTTCTAAGCTGATATAAATTTGATAACTTCACCGAAACACATGGCAAGGTTAAAGTGCAGTGTATACATACATTATGTCTCATGTAAATATTATTTATAAGCTTTATCTATAGTAATCTCATATAATTTAATAGGATATATAAACTTACTTCTTATTTATTTTCAAAATAATCTTTTTAATGATTGTAAAGCTTTTATTTAAAACTGGGCTGCTGAGGTATGTAAATCGGGCATGCTAAGTTCTAAATATTCCTTGAGATCTGCAGTAAAATGCTTTTGGCCTATTAAATGAAGATAATTTCACTTAGATCTATATCATTTGTGATAGTCATAAATAATTGTTCGAAGTTTTGCTATGCTTAATTTATAAAGTACCTTAATCAGAAATGTATCGCATTGTTTCTGAATTGCGCACTGTTAGCATTTAATGATGCCATTGTAATTGAAGAATAATTTGAAGAGTGCGTTTTCTTATGACTACAATCATGTAAAGCACAGTGGGTTTTAGATGAATGAAGTAAGTTTTAATAATTATTAAGATATTCCAAATATATTTTCAACTAATTGTGCAATTGAATTAAGTCTAGTATATTAATTTAAAATTTGTTTAATTGCGTCGGTATTTTTTACGTTTCTATTCTGTCAGGGAACAACAGACTTTAAAGCAATTCAGGTTAATTATCTAACATGAGTGAACTGCATCAGATTATATGGTTAATCTTCGGATTATGGTAACTTGATTAGGTTAGATTATATATAATGTAAAGAAATATCTGGTTAGGTTAAAAGAAATATCTGGTTAGGTTAGATTATATATAATGTAAAGAAATATTTATATATATTTTGTTAGTGGTAAAGAAAATCTTGCATAATCCTCAAGTAATAGAGTTGAAGTCTTGAACTCCATGAAAGTTTGCTGATTTTGAACAGAATCTTGCTCCTTAATGTGGAATATCATTTTTTGGGTTAGATAGTTGGTCATATAGAAAGCAACAGAATACATGTGTTACTTTTAATACAAGTAAGAAAAACAATGAGAAATAATTCAAATTCTCTTGGTTCCATTTCATAACACCCTTCTTGATTAGCATAGCATTATTAAATTTAATATGTAAAAATGCATAATTACATTACTCTTCTATGGAGATTAATGTGTGAGTAAATTTTAAAATGCTTTAACAATCAGTATATTTGGCTAATACAAAAATATATGATGTCTTCTAGACACTTCAGGATCACACAAAAAAAAAAAAAAAAAAAAAAAAAAAACTCAAAAGTATATTCGGTTGATCTTTACATTATGGTAACTTGGTGATTTTTTGGCGAAAATTTGGCAACCAACTCTCCTACAGCAACCCTCTATTTTTTTTTTCCCCGCCGCCATTTTGTCTTCACGAAGTAAAGACATGTTTCTTTTCTTTTTATCTACTGAACACTTCTTCCAACAATCTAGTAGCCGAATTACACTTATGCTAGAAATTTTATCAAACAAAACTGCTTAATCATGACAAATATTCACTGCAAAATTGGGAAAAAGTGCACAGTACCATACTCCTTACGCGTTTTTCAAAATAACACATACACATAAACCATGTACACGGCGACTTATTTTTACTTAAAAAAACATCCCAGAATTGCACGAAAATGGCATTGCGCACACTCTTCACTATATCCATGTACACTGCTTTTTTCTCATAAATTAGAAAAATTTCACGAAAATACATGACAATTTTCTCAATCTTTAAACCCGGTAAAAGAACATATATGAAATTACCTGATCGCGAAAAAATATTTACCCTTTACAAATATGAACATTTCCACATATAAAAAATAAAATATCCAAAAACTTTTACCTCTAAATCATCTATTACATTATACACGTCACCAACGAATTCATACCGCAAGCATTACAAATACTTAGTATCAAATATTCAAATTATTTCCATGCACGTTTATTTCAACTTAAAACGTATACCAAATTCCTACAAACATAAAAATTCACAAAATAACTATCATTTAATTAAAATATCACTAAACCATGTACACGTCGACTTATTTTTACTTAAAAAAATCCCAGAATTGCACAAAAATGGCATTGCGCACACTCTTCACTATATCCATGTACACTGCTTTTTTCTCATAAATTAGAAAAATTTCACAAAAATACATGACAATTTTCTCAATCTTTAAACACCCCGGTAAAAAGAACATATTGAAATTACCTGATCGCGAAAAAGTATTTACCCTTTACAAATATGAACATTTCCACATATAAAATAAATAAAATATCCAAAAACTTTAACCTCGAAATCATCTATTACATTATACACGTCACCAACGAATTCATACCGCAAGCATTACAAATACGTAGTATCAAATATTTAAATTTATTTCCATGCACGTTTATTTCAACTTAAATGTATACCAAATTCCTACAAACATAAAATTCACAAAATAACTATCATTTCATTAAAATATAATTAAATTCAAAAACACTACTTAAAATATAAATGAGCACATACATTAAATTAATAAAATTACCTTACAATCCTAATTAATTAACTAAATCATTGCTAATAACAATTTTCCCCAATAATACCAAATTCCTTTCCACCTTACATTTAGAACAATGCATAAAAATATATCCTCAAATAATTAAAATACTAACTTACCTAATCTCTTCAGAAAATCTTGATTACGTGGCGGATAACCTTTTCTAATTCATTCAATAAAATTATTGAAAGATTTTTTCTGCGAATTTTTCCTCCATACTTCCTCCGCTAAATAAAAAGCAAACTTCTCTTTATCACAATGCCTAAATACCCATTTCGAATTCACTTTAGTTAGGGCCATGGTATCCAAAAATTAAACAACACTGTTTCACACAACACAGAATAAAGCTAAATACAAAATTTCCACTTTTTTTCCCGATTTCCCCCCTTTTTCCGATTAAAGAACCGTAATTCGTCCATTAAATCACATGAACATATCCCATGATCTCTCATTTTCCCTCACGCAAAATAATGCGTAATCGGAACTGAGTACTGCTCACATTATTACCTGTCAGAAGTCCCAGGTAGTAACCTTTATCGCCTCCAAAATGTCGCCAAACTACCAGTTACCATATTGTAAAGATCAACCGTATATTCTGATTGTCTGAATCTAGAAAATAAAAGAATAGTAAAATAAAATTAAATATAACAGGAATTGACAGGCCATCTTATATTTTCAGATGCTGGGCAGACAAGGGAAGATAAGTTTCTAAGTTCTGGGTAGTTTCTATACACGACACAAAGTGAGAAATGAATGCCCACTTCTGACAGGATTTAACGAGCTTGTTTTCTAAAACAATGCCTTATTTATGCAATAATGTCTGCCGGGTCCATTTGGATTGCAGTGTTGATACATACAGTTTACGTAACATTTACAGTGTAGTATATTTTTAAAATGCTTTTTTGAGCTAAGTTAATATTATTTATTGTACTTGTACCTTCAATATTCAAAGGTTACTCAATGATTTTAAACACAGAATTAAAGAATTTTGAGAACATGTGTCAAGAAACTGGTTGGTACACTCAGTGTCTAAAGATTCTGTGTTCTGTTTTTGTTGTATAATTTAAAATTGATTTATTGTTTTTAAATGTGAGTTATAAAAACTGTAAAAATATCAGTGAGATATTAAGAAAACATAAATACTGGAACACTTGTGTATATTATTTGAAATTGTTGTTAGAGCTGAAACAAAGGTTGAAAGCATACCATACACTAGATTCATCTGCATGAAGATTAATTAATTCTGAAATTAAATATTGGCATGAAGTAATTTTGCACATAATTGATAATAATTTTGCACATAATTAAGTTATTGAATTGATTGATGAAAGTTCTGTATCCTTTTGGGGTACAAGCGATAAGCTTTATGAACATAATAACATAAATTTTCTCATGTTAATTCAGTTGCTAGCTGAAATTGATCCAGTAATGAAGAGCATGTTCGTAGAATCCTCAATAATGAAGAAAAGACAGCAAGATAACATTCAGAAACATTCAGAATGAAATTATTGGACTAAATTCAAAAAGTGGCATATTATTTGGTTGTTCTTGATTGTACTCTCAATTTGAGTAAGGCTGAACAAACAACATTTGTAGTAAAATATGTGTCCTCTGATCAGTCAAAAGTGAGATTTGAATACAACATTAATGAATATTTTCTGTGTTTTCTTCCTCTTGAAAGGTATGTTGGTAAGGAATTATCTCAAGTTTTATTAGAAAAGTTGGCGAAAAATGGATTAAAAATATAAGAAATGAAGGTTACGACAGTGGTTCAGGTAGAGTTAGGTATTAGACTTGATAAGATATTTGAGATCTGGGGCCCGTTATAAGTCCAGATATTATATGTTAGTGCCAAATATGATTTTTAGATACCTAGAGGAATTTTTTGGGGGCCTCCAAGAAAGCGAGGGCTAAAGCTTCTGTAGTGTTCCTAAAATTATCTGAACTAGAATCTGTATACTGGCGTCGGCACATAAATTCACAAAAATATCCTCTGTAGTGCCTGTATCATTTGATCATTCGCATTTCCTTCCTACAAACAGGACACTTAATAATTGCTACTAAGTAAACCTTTATTACACACCATTAATTAATGCTTTTTTCCCCTTCCGTTCCAAAGCACACAGAAACTTCAAATTAATCTTACCACATTCAGTCATTTTACCGTGTAAACCAGAAAATAACAACGTACTTCTTATCCAAAACCCGACACACACTTTCCAAATCTTTTCCCACAATGCCAACTGGCCGCAATTACACAATCAATTGCATTATAATAGGGTTTTCATAGCATTTATCAACTCAGGTTACCATAAATCAAGCAACAACTTGCCAATAAATGAAACAACTTAGTGCTAATCCAGGGGCTCCCTTAAATCTGCTCTTACCAAAAATTTAAGTTTTTATGTTCGATAATCATTTGATATAAAATTATCAGTTATATTAATCTGATAAGTAAGCTACTTCATTTAAAAGATTTTGATTTATCACAATCCACTGATTTATTAAATAGCTAATTAACTCTTTTTTAATTAAGATTGTATGAATTCAGAACAATGCTGAAAATTTAGCTAAAATAAACGTAGGGCAAAAACTTTAAACTGACTAGACCATGTTATCACGTTCAATCGAAAAAGCAAAATTTTTTATATAAAAGTATTGTTGAACCTATATTAGATTCGAAAGAGAAATATAAAATAGTTTTTTTTCTTTATTATAGATCAGATAATCAGTACACTGGAACTGAGATTCAACCTATTGAATAATTATAATGACTCTTTTGAGTTTCTATATGATGTCCACAAACTTAAAGATGTGTAAAAATTAATTATTGCCGCATTGTAAAGATCTGGAAAATGACTTAACAAATGTTGATTCCTCTGATCTCCGTTGATTTCCTCCTTTGATCTCCTTTGAATTGGCTGACAAAATAGACCTTATTTCTTCACTTTTAAAAAAGAAAGAAGGTCCAATTGATGTTTTTAAATTCATTACCTCCCTTAACACTGAGATAAATTTTAGCATTGTTTTAAAAATTTTGCTAACCCTTCTATAACTGTGTTTACTAGAAAAGGATCTTTCTTCTGAACTAAAAGCAATAAAATTTATTTAAGAACTACTCAAATTGTCTTAAAGGATTAGTGGTGTTGGCCATTGATTATGAATCAAGTAATTATAGTATTAGATTTGAAAGAAATTATTCCTGATTTTGCAGGGGGAGGTAGGTTCGAACAAGATTATTTTAATTTAGGTATTGCATTAGTATTCTTTGTTGTTTTAAAAATATTGCTTATATTAGTGTTAATTCCAAAGTTTCTGTGTTATTAATAAAAAAATATATAGATATTGTGTGAGTGCTATTGCCTTAATTCAATTAGATTAGACCATATTCCGCTGTATATCATATTTTTTCATAAACCTTTTTTTTTTTTTTTTTTAAAATTTTATTTAAAAGTTTTTTATGTTTGCCTATGGCAGCAAAAATCTAAGGCCGACCCTGCAGTGTCATACATGCATTATTGCAAATTCATGACAAGGAATAAAATCATTCAGAGAAAGAAGGTGGCTTAAATATTATTATATCATTCTTCATGTAAAGTCCCTATAGAGTTACGAGTAATAAATATTGATTTGGTAAACTCTATCATTTTAATTAGGGAACTGGATAGAATGAGAACATGTATAATTTCATTAATGTGCTTTTTCAATTATGAATGCATGATTGTGGGAAACGTCTTTACGGTGCATAACATACTGTCGCAAGTGACTTGGCGCAGTTTGGAGAATTTTATGGAAGAAAAAGAGCAATTACTTTATTCTAAAAAAATTACATATTACATACATATATATTATTAGATACATATTCTACATTTCAGTTAAGTATTTATTCTCAAAAACAGTCAATAAAACTAGTTACAAATGGGATTTTGTTTTTGTTGTGGTGGAAATTTTCTTGCAGTCTCTTCGAGAAAGAATTCGGAGCATTGTACCTATTGTATTCTTGCAAAAATTTTACCTTTCTTTCTTTTATTGTAGGATCTATCATGCAAGCATTTCTGCTTGTATGTTAAAATTTATTTTAAAATCAAGTTATAAGACAAAAAAGCTGTTGGAACTTAAAATGCAACAAAAAGAATGAATGCAAAAATGACAATATTGGAAACTTAATATCTGGTTGTAATGAAAGTTTTCTGCAAAAAACATTCTTTAAAAAGTTAGAGAAAGAAACATACCTTTAATGTGGGTAGTAATCACCACCCAAATCTATGGTTTTATGCTAACATTTTGGTAGGCCCAGGAACTTAGTGGCTATGAGTTCAAAAAAAAAAAAAAAAAAAAAAAAAACCAACCTCGTTTCAGACATGCTGTGCAGAATGGAAGACAGCACTAACAAGATGTAGCTGCAGGTGTGAGAAAAAGTAGACATCGGACGGAGCGATGTCAGGCTATATGGTTTGGTGCGGCAAAAGATCCCATTCGAGTATGTACAGATTCTAGTCGGTGAATGAAGACATTTGTGGTCTTGCATTATCTTGAGGGAACATTACCTTTTTGCAGAGAAACTTAGTTCGATGTTTTTCCTTGATAGCAACGTCAGCATGGACTAGCATCTCTCTGTACACCTTACTGTCAAGTGTTTTACCTTTTTCCAGATACTCTTTGGACCCCACCAGCAGCCAAGCTGTAAAATCACGGAACACAGTTCCAACTTGGGTTCACAAGTTCTCACAGGCAGGCTTCATCAACATCAGTAGGCAGGCCAGAGTGCTCTGCTTCTTGAATATCATCCTTGTTTTTTTAACTTTAAGTATGTGTCAAAGTGTCATATGATACAACATTAGTACCTCAAGCCATATACATTATTTGGTGACAATCTGTAGCTGATTTTTTGCAACAGAAATGAAAGTAAATGATGGTTCTAATCTGTTAGCATGATAGTTCCATTCCAGACATCTTGTACTTAATAATAACGATATTTTTTTACATATTTCACAACACATTATTCTAAAGCAAGTCTGTTTCAATCAAATGCCAAAGCATTATTCTAACAAAATAAACATGCCAGCACGAATTATTTGCACAGACTACATTTGTGGTGGTGGTAAACTTTTGTTAAAACCCAATATTTGTCATGCACATGGTTGCCTGAATAATTGTTATGTGCATGGTTGCAAGATTTTGGTGTATTCTGAAGCTTTGGTGATTTTTACTGAGGTGGTTGTGATAATACATAATTACCTTTGGTACTCTTTTATTATCGAGATCAGATTCAGAAATGTATGTATATATGCATGTGTGTGCTTACACAAACACATATATGCATGTACATGCATGCACTTGTGCATTATACATACTCTTTTGAATGCAGCTGTGCATATATACATACTCTTTTGAATCTGGTCCCAATAACAGAAGGCTAATGTACCGTTTTTATGATAAGATGGGTCTGGTTACCCAAAGTCCTCTTCCTTTCATGAAGGTGAGAGTGAGACCTAAAAAATAAGACCACAAGATAGCTGCAAAATACATAATTCCCAACTTTCCTGATGGCTTGATCATACCCTCATGTAGGTGTTCTATAGTTGAATAATGTAAATGATGATAATTCTAAAAATTGCTTTCTTCTATATGATTTATGCTCATGGCATCACTTAATTTTATTGAACACTTGATGTATTTTACCTATTGTTTAGGAGTTGTTCCTCTTCATGAGTATTAATTACATTTGTTAGACCCCTGCCCATTTAGGGTTAATATAGATGCCTGCAAATCTCATTTGAACTGTGTGGTTTGTTTAGCTGTTGTTGTCTTTTTAGGTATCATAATTTTTTTCGTTCTTTATTGTTCGCTTTCCCTCAGCTTGCTCTTTTGTTCACTGCTGTATTATTTGATGTTGTATTGTAAAATGTGTATGATGTAATCATTTTAAGTTATGTCTGATTATTACCTAAGGCTAGGGTCCTACACATAGTATGTAATCACTAAACTCCTTTTACCATTTTTTTCCATTGTGAAAACAAGGAAAGGGGGGATTCTAAATGTTTGATAGAATGCTGTGTCCCAGATTTCTTGCTATGCTTATTAGTTGAAACATTATTGCTTCAAAAACACCCAGTAGCCTAGTAATTTCTGTGATATATATTTCAGTCAGACAAGTACAGTCTATTTGGTTTTGCAGGAAATGTTTGATGTGTACCTTTTGCATCGTCTACCCAACAGCTGAGCATCTATATCTAGTTTAACCACTGCTAACCAACCATTAAATAATGTACTTTGCGTAAAAAAAAGGGGGGAACAGTTCTATATCTTTTCTTCTACTGGGCTGATTGACAAAATTCAGATTGCGTTTTTCATGTCTCAGTAGCGTGACTTAGGATATATATTAGATTTATATTATAGCACTATTCTAACATAGGTATTTTGACACAAAATCAGACTTTTTCTGAAATAACATACCAATTTTTTTATATAGTTTGATTCTACTACTGAAATTATGCCTAAATATTAAAATTTGGGGCAAAATTTAAAAAAATTAAAAATTTGGGGAAATTTAAAATTTGGGGCACCAAGAATAGTTCTAACTTCTTAATATACAGCCAATTTATTTTCCTTTCCCTTTTTTACATTGTGCATGAGTGGAAAAAAATTACATCATTCCTTCTTTCAAATAATATACTTATATTATATTTTTAATTATAAATGTTATTATTTTAGATATTTTTTTTTTTAATTTCATTTTAATTGTTTAAAGTTGCATGGTTTTCTTTCAAATAACTGTTTTAAAAAATTTCTGTTTCCTCATTCAAACTGCGTAGTTGAAATAAAAGGTGCATCGTTTATTTTTTTTCAAATAATTTTCTTTATACTATATATTTTAGTCATAAATATTATTTTAGATAATTTTTTATTTTTAGACTTTTTATTTTAATTGTTCGTGTTGCATTGTGTCTTCAGATAATTGTTTTAAAATTTTCCATTCATTCATCCAAACTGTGCATTTTAAATACATTTATTAATATAAATTTTCCAGAATTTGATTTTATTTATTTGAATTGTATTTCTTTCAGAAGACTACTTTGTGACCCAGACTACAATGCATTTGAAAACTGCATATATTAAAAGAGAACATACAGTAAAGCACAGTTAACATGCCTTTCAATGTTCCGTTCAGAAGATATATAAATAAAAGAGATGTATATCCGACATTTTAAGTAGGATGACTTGTATACATTGCTTTAAATAGTTTTATCAGTGTGCCCATTGCTGTACACAATTTTGTCATCCTACATTTAATTTCTTAAAATGTTATTCATATTTTAGTCAAATATTTTATTTTTGAAATCACAAGAATCAAATATCATAAAATTAAAAAATTTTAAATTTAAAAAAATACTAAAATTTGTCTTCAACCCCACTTTTCTTTGTGTTCTAACAAAAAGGCTTTGCAAGACATATGTAGTACTCATTTCTTTGAAAACCAGGAAGCTCAGTAATAATATCTTAATGATTACATTTAGCCAAAGAATCATAGCTCAGTTCTGTAATTCCATTTGAGTTCTTTGATTAAGCTGTTAGGCGACAGTGTGTTTAAGGCTGATGCTTATTCATAATTGTGTGTATTTTAGATGGAAATGTGTAGTTAAAGGATTGGGTCTCAAACTGGCTTTTGGTTAAGTAATTTCTTTTTATAAAATAATTAAGTAAAGTAATAAAAAAAGAAACTTAGTATGTGTATGTAATAATAATTGTTAGTAACTTATGCATGTAATATGAAAGACTTCTTGACACTTTCCCTTCCAGCAAAAATTTCATAAGCATGGTAATTATTTGTGTGAAAAATTCATTCAAGCTAAAATTACACTATTTATAGTTTTTAATTGAATAAAAAGTTCATAATGTGCATACTTGTAGCCCCCTTTTTTTTTAATAAAATGCTTTTTGTTTCAAGTTGATAAGGCAAATAATAACCAAGATATTTCAGTTTTCGTAAATGAATCCAGCTGGACCCTATCTGGGCCTGACCCTGTTAATTGTTATGTTTTTAAAGTTAAAACATATTTCCAGTTGTAGTTCCAAATGAAATGAATTCCGGCACTTTCTCAAATTGAATCACAGTATTAGCAAGAAATTCTGTCATTCAGTTAACATTTCTTATAGTAGTTATGTGAAGTTGCTACTAAATGTATGCCTTACTTTCTGTAGCTACAACAAAATAAGCAGAAAACCTTAAGAGTTGTATAAGACATGCCAATGTCAAAGCATGATGCTTTTAGAATATGGAAAACCTGTGACCATCATAAGCCAAATCAGTTTACCATTCTTTTCTACACATATTCATATTATTTGTAAAAGTCTGAAAATACTGCTTTTATTTGGAGATATGCATAAATTTTTGTTCTTATAATTATTTGCTACTCTTATGCAGGTAATACATAAAAAATACTTATCGGGCTAGCTAGGAAAAATGGGAAGTCAAAATTATATGGTTTATGCATAAAAATATTTGTTCTTATATAACCTTAAAGACAAGTAAAAAATTTATATCTGTGAGGCTACAATATGACAATCCTTTATTGCTATTATGATGATGATCCTTTTTCTTCAGTAAAATAATCCATAATGGAATATGCTTATAATGGTAATGAAGTGTTTTAAATTAACCATGTTATTGGATGTTCAATAGATAAAGTTTTAGTGAGTTTCGGTTTTTGAGACATACTAATATGCTTTTACTTTTCTTAGTTTCATATGTTTTTAATAAATTAAGAAGTAAAACAAACAAAAAAAAAGTGTTGTGGCCAAGGTTATGTGATAATAATATGATTATATGGTAATTAATAAATTATATTATTAATATTGTATATTAATAAAATATTGTCTTTTTAAGGGAGGTCATTTTTTTTATATAAATCTGCCTATAAAACTGCATATCTCTTCTTTTGCAGTTCATATTTGAAACTTCAAGATGAAATCAGTTCATAACAGATTTGAAAAAATTAATTCACCATCAGATGCTCATTAATTCCCATTTGAATATTTAAAGTATCTTAGATTCCATCATGGCTGCTATAGATCAAGAACAAGGGCAAGAACGACCACCTGTCACACAACTAGAATTTCGGCAAGCAATGAGAGATTTCAAAACTATGTTTCCTGAAATGGATGAAGATGTCATTGAAGTTGTTTTGCGTTCAAACAATGGAGCAGTGGATTCTACTATAGATCAACTTTTAACCATGAGCACTGATAATGAAAATGAGCGTATTCGAACTGAACTTGATGCAACAGAAAATGATGAACTGCCCCCTTGTTATTCACCTTCTACTCCTCCACCTTCTTATAATCAAGCTGTTCCCTATGCTCAAAGTCCAGCTCATGCAGTTGCTTCTGGAGAGAGTCAGACTTCAGATTCAGGACTGCAATCCTCTCCATGCATACAGCAACAACCTACTCAGAAGGAATTAACTCCCATAACTAAACCATCAACTGTACAGTTTACATTGCCTGAAGAAAGTGGTTAGTTATTTATGAAATGTAGTATTTTTTTCTTATTTCATAAAATTGAATAAGTGTTCATTCAATTCATTTACGAGGTAGGATTCAAAAGTTCCTGGACTGAGTCTATAACGTAAAAAAAATTATGAATTAAATTGCAGAAGCACAACCTCCTTCAAAATAAGAGCCTTGTGCTACAACACACTTTTGCCATCACCTGTAAAGTTCATCAAAGCATGTCTGGAATCCATTTTTGGCCATGTCCTTTAATTCAGCCTGCGATGCACATTTAACTTCATCTGAAGATTGAAATCAATGATTCTGCAAGTGTCTTGCCAGCTCAGGAAATAGGAAGAAATCACAGGGTGCGATATCAGGTGAGTAAGGAGGATTAGGCAAAACAGTTGTTTTCATTTTCGCAAAAAAGTCATTGACGAGTAGGGATCAGTAAGCAGGAGCGTTGTCATGCAACATCACCCATGACTGCTCGGCCCACATTTTTGGTCTGTCCTGAATCGACTGACGATAATGCATCCTTCAGGGATAAATTCCAGATGCACAATGCCCTGGATATTGAAGACTACCTCTAGCATGACCTTCCTTTAAAGCAATCTTGGCACCTTTTTCTGCTTCCATGGAGATTGTGGTGATTTCCATGTTGGCGATGCACTTTTGGTTTGTGGGTCGTATAGAAAACATCATTTCTCGTCTCCAGTAACAAATCTGTCAACTAGGGAAGGATCTTTGTCAACAGCCAAGATTAAGTCTCCCGCCATTTACACTCAAATTCCCTTTTGGTTACGTTTAACATGCGGGGAACGATATGATGACACACCCTGTGCATGTTAAAATCCTTAGTCAGTATCCGCTGACATGTGACCACTGATATCCCAATTGATTCGGCTATTTGGCAAATTGTTTGCTGCCTGTTCGCACGTACCGCCGCAGACACCTTTTTGATGTTTTCATCGGTGTCTTAAGTTACGGGATGGCCACAGCATTCGTCGTCTTCAGCACTTTCACTGCTTTCTCTGAAACGACGATGACACTCAAAAGCATGTGTTCTCAATAATGTTTCCCTTCCATACACATGCTTCAACATTTCAAAATCCTCTATAGCACTCTTTCCCCAGTGAACACAAAATTTTATATTGATTTTCTATTCAACTGATGCCATTTCTTTCTGTCGCCAGTTTCTAAATGGACCTGCCTACAAAAAACACTGTCGCCGCGAGCTTTCGACCACGTGATTTGAGACAAACCACTTTTAGAAAAGAGAGAGAATGTAGTAACACAAAAACGTTCTCATAGTCGCACTACTACAAAAAAGTTTTATGTTATAGACTCAGTCCGGGAACTTTTGAATCCTACAATGTATAATTTATTATGTAATATTACTTAGAAGAGTATCTGCTTCCCTTATTTGGATTTTTTTTTTATAAAGAGTATAATTTTATAATGTATTTTTCCAATTAATTACTTATGTCTCATGATGAGAATAATAACTTTAGTAGTGAAAGAACTATAAAAAGAATTTGTTGAATTCAGGATACTTTTAGGAAGGCCATATCTTGCATTCATTATCTATATTCAAATATATAAAGAGAGACAGTAAGTAAACAAAAGTTGGTAGAGTTTTGTATCTTCCTTTCTATTTAGGCAATTGACAAAATTCATCTTATATTTTGCATGGGTACTTTCGTATTAATGCCACTGCAACTGCAGATTTGACAGTTTTTAAGTGGCAGTCAACCTACACCTAAAAGTTTTGCGACAAATCATAAATTAAAACACTTTATTTAAAATCAAAGTAGTCAATCAGAATTCGGTGGAAAATGGGCCGATATAGAGTTTAACATAGATTCAAAACAGTCTCTATTTTCTTTGCCCTGATGCTGTCGCCATATGAACTTTGCTAAATAATGTCTCGCTGTTCCCCTATGTCTCTTGTTCCTCCATTTAGCACTGCCCCACATTCTCTCAACTATTTGTGTATGAACACCTGTATCAGGCTCAATAAAATTGTATTTATGATAAACTTAAGCATGTAGGAATCCTTCTTTTTCTATTCTATTTGTTTGGTAACTTTTCCAATTGTCAGTATAAATTGTGCTACCATCTGCAGTGTGTTCAAGAATTTTATTAAGAAGGGTAGAGCCAATTCTATTAGGAACAACAAACAAATCTTTGGTTTCTCAACAGATATCACCAAACACCCACTGTTCAGGTAATACTCGACCACAATTATTTTTAAACACAATTTTTTTTAGTAAACAAACTTTCATCAATTTCCACAATGCAATCTGGTCCACCTACCTTCTTGTTTGGTTTATCCTCCATATCCAAGACACATAATTCGTGCATGTAATTCTTCCATTCTGTAACTGTTTTATCCGATAAATCAAGTTGCTCTTCACAAAATTTAATTGACATCAACTCCTTGCACCAGCAGTATATGAATTTCAAAGCTGAACAAAATGGAATTCTGCTTCCTTCAAATCAGTTGTCATTTCTAAGTCACACTTGTCATTTCTAAGTCACACTGTCTTAAATTACATTTCCAAAATGTACGTTTACCAAAATAAAGTTTCATATCATGCAAATTGGTACATTTTTTTTTTTTTTTTTTTTTTTTTTTTTTTTTTTGTAAAATATTTCTCTCCTGAAAAAATAAAATTGCATCTTCTTGTGTGTTTGGCAAATCCCAAAGACACATTTTCATAGCACTAAAAAATGGCGTCAAAAATCAGCAAACAACAAGGCAAAAAGGAATCCAAAAGGTAACTGCATGCGAACAACAAAATTTCTCTTTATTGGCACATCAGCGCAACTTCTGCTGCAGTGGTGTTAATATGTAAGTACTTTTGCATGTCTTGAAGGTGTGACTTGGTATTTCTATTAGCTTTATATGTAGTATACTCTAGCATAGAGTATTTTGACACAAAATCTGATTTTTTATTGAATCGCATGCTAAATTCATTTCGACTCCTTGAATACTTTATTACTTTGTGTTTTTCTTGAATACTTTGTGTCTTACTTTATCCATGTATATTAGGTATTACCTTTTTTGGTACAATGTTATTGTAGTATTTATGTAAAAAAATAATTATATTTTTATTTATTTACTTATTTTACTAACTTCTTGTAATCAAGAGCTGTGAATTTCAATCTTTTGAATTAGTATCTATTTATAAACATAAATTTTTCCATCTTATATATTTTTTCAAAGTTGCAGAACAAAATATGGACTCTACCGAATAGAAATTGGACAATATTTTGTATTGTCAGTTTGTCAAATTAGTTTAAAAAAAAAAAAAAAGAAAGAAAGAAAGGGGAAAAAAATGTCTGTATTATATTGTCAGCAGACAATTTTCTGTTCTTTGAGATCTGCCACCAATCTAAAAATTTATTTTTACACTCTGCTTTGTAGTAGCAACAAAATATCAATTATGGTAATAAAATAATGTAATTTTTAACAAAAGTGAATTTAGTTTTCATTATTTTTTATTCCAGAATTTTATTGTTCTATGTAGAAAGGTTTTGTTTTGTTTAAGGGAATCTTGAAACTACAGTTGAAAGAAATCAATCCAGGGAGTGAGCTGCTTGATTGAGTTGATTCCAGTGATCCCACTCCTTGTTAAATTCTTTCTGCTTTTCCTCCATCTTTGCAGACTGTTCTTGATCCATGCCTGTTCCAAACATATTCATCAAGGTCGTTGTTGGTAATTAAATGAATCGTTAAAAAAAACTTATTCATTTCAACGAGTGAACAGTTCCGATCTGATCCCTTAAAGAAGCGATTTTGCTCATCTCTAATGCTGAGGTAGGGTTTGCATGGGACATGAATATTATAAATATTCTGCAAGGATTAAGAAACTTAAAAACAGTGTCTTATCTAATAGGATAGATGGAACATTCAGGAATTATATAGGTACTTGTATATTATAGCAGCCTTAGTGAGAAATGGAAATTAGTGCATTTCAACCATGGTAAAACAAAACAGTTACTAATATACACAAGTAATTCATTCAATATCTACAGTACAAAATGTATTTAATGTACACATACAGTAGAAGTTTAATATAAATTGGTTTTTATTATTTTAATATAATTTTTAAGCAGTTTGTTTAAATAAACATCATGTAGAAACATAGCTTAAATTCAGTTTAAACAAATTCTTTATGATCGCTACAGTTTAGCAAAATTCTGCTTATAATGTGTCAAACACATTATCATGGTGTCTCTAATTGCTAAACATAAACTCTGCTATGTAGGACTGCATGTGGTGTTGAGTTGTATTTCTGTGCTTTTTGTTTAACTCTTTCACTGATTCCCACAAGATGGAAGATGATAAATAATTAGCATATTAAATATTTAGGAATGAAAAACAGAGAAAATTTTCAGTGGTAGAAGAAAGATAAATAAATATGTGCAGATTTAAAAATTGTTTGTTTCTTGCCAAGACCACTATAACTTAGAAGTACCAATATATAATTTATATTTAAAAAAATGAATTTGAAACATTTTTTTTTTTACCATGAAGTGTGGCATTTTGTTTGAAAGTGGTCAAAAAATATCCATAGCTTGAACTCCAATATATGATGAGTAAAATGATATATTTCTAATTTTACTAATAAGATATGTTAAATATTAAAATTAAGAAAATTTTAAGTTTAATATGTTGCTTTATGAAATCCAAAACTGTATATTTCATATACACCTATACACCTTGTTCATAAAAGTTGTTACCCAGTTTTTTGTTGTCACAAGTGTTAATTATAGATGAATATTTTCAATTACAAAAATGTTTTAAATAATGCAGATATTCATGGCAATTTCAAATTTTTTAAGTCAATTTTGGACGAATTGCAAAACCTGAATTTTTATTGGGTCTCCTAGTTCCTATAGATGTATTTAGGAAAATGTTATACCCATCATTGTTGCTTTTGTACGGGTTCGTCGATTTGTAGTCATTAATGACAACACTTGGTGAAGAATGAAAACACCATTTATTAGCCAGTATTACTCAGGTCAGCTCCAAAATCAAGTTTACAGTTGTCAAATTGGCCTGCCTTCAACACATTCTGGGCCAAACCGGTAAAGCTGCATTCACGCGTTAAGTGTTAACCAATGAGAAGCGAGTTCAGAGGCGGCATTTGTTAGATGGCCGGAGACCATGTGAATTAACTTACCTTTTTTATGCTTGACACGTCAGTTTCAGGCATCTCATTTCAAACGTCCAGTTTATACCATGGTTTTTAAATGATTGCACTATCAAAAATTCTTCTTGGTGGAAAAAAAAAGTCAAATGGACTAATCTTAATAAAAATTTCAGATAATACTAAAAAAATGCATATTCTAATAGAATGAATAGCTTTATAAATTATGTAAAGGAAAATTCTCAAGTTTATTAGCATTAATAAACCTTAATTAATCAACCATAAATGATATATATGGTTCATAATTTTTGCAGAATAATCTAAAGCAATAGATTGTTGCGAGAAAATAGTGATGGATTTCAAAATCCCAGATTTTGAATTTTTCTTAAAATATATCTACATCAATTTAAGGTTGCTCTAGTTGCCCAGTGGATGAAATGTTGGCTTCTTGAGTTAAAGATTTTGGATTCAAGACATCACCAGGAGTGGTGTTGGGATTTTTTAAAAAATATTTACGGAAAATATTATCGCTAGTTTGAGCAGCCCAAATGTGTCTTCAGTTTCCTGAATGGGAAGTGTGAAAACTCCGCTTACTCGCAAGATACCTTAGCACAAAGGTAACACGCTATGTAGAAAGTTCAGGTTTTACTAGGGACTTGTATTGTGGGTTCGGGACTTGCTTTTTCCTACCTCTGATGATGGTACGAATACACTTTTTTTTTTTAATCTAGCGCGACGTTTTTGAGGGGGGACACAAGAAGCTTGCATTTATTTTTCGTTTCATTTCATTCATCATTCATATAAACCTAATTATTCCTCGGCATTGTGTACATTATCCTTCTTTTGACATTTGACTGACACGAAACTAGCAAAAGTGATACTGGTATTAGTATAAAGTTGCTGTTTCATCTACTTAAAAAATTTCATGACTTCTGAATTTAAAATGAGTGGTGATGAGTAAACCATTTATTTAAAAAAATTATGAAAAGTATTATTTATACAGAAAAGACGCTCGCTAGTACGTAGCTGATTTCATAGAATAATACTATGCATTTTATTGGCTTCGTGTTTGTTTTTCTCTGCATAAGCTGTACATCAGCTTCTTCTATCTCAGCATCACATGAATTTTCAGATGGTTTAATATTTGCCAGCTGCGACTTCGTAACTTCACTATCAGTTTCTACTACCTTAAAAGTCACTTATTCATGTTCTTCCATCTGTACTTCAGGCACTTGAGAATCAGGAACTTCTTTGTCATCTTTTATTTTTTCATGTTTTCATTCTTTTTATTTAATGCCATTAGATGTTTCATCCATCATTTCGTGATCTTTCTCAGACACTTACCAGCTACTTCCTTCATTTCTTCATTGTTCAATTCTTCAGATGCCACTTCTGTCATTTCCACATCTTCTTTTAAGGCTCCAGTTTCTTCTGTAAGTTCCACTTTCATCTGTTTGAGTTGCTATCGCAGCTTTTCTTGGCCGGCTTTTATTTCACTAACATTTCTTGTCCAACCTTCATCTCTTCTCATACGGCTTTCATCCCTTCTCATACAGCTTTCATCTCCTCCAATCCGGCTTTCATCTCAGCCTTCATCTCTTCATATCCAGCTTTAATTTCTTCTAATCCGGCTTTTACAGCTGCTAAGAAGTCTGTCAACTTCATTTCCTCCATCGTGGCCTTTTCCTGTAGGCTTATCACTGGCATTCTCTCGCAAATCCCACTTCTTACACCAGTTGTTGCATTTGTATGGGTACGTGGATTTGGAGTGATTAACAACAACACTTTATTAAGGATGAAAAACAATTTATTAGCCAGTATTACTCAGGACAGCTTCAAAAACACATTTACAGATTTACTATGACATGATTTACACATTTACTATGACAAGCATGCTGAAACAATCAGGAACACAGCTTTCAGGATATTAGGCTGTAATGGTGAAGACAGCTTCACAGCAAAGCACTAGAGTATAGCTCCCGGCTCAGTTTAGTCATTCTTGGAGCTCAACATACTCAAGATAAATCTCGATAGCTTCAATGGTGTACACTCTCGATGCACTACAAGACACTGCTACTCTACGTACAGGCAGGGTTTATATAGCTTTTGGCCTACCTTCGAGAACATCCTGGGCCAAACTGGTAAAAATTCATTCCAGAGTATTCTCCATCTGTGTATGGCATATCACCAAATGGGCAATTTTGTGCCAATTTTGGCAATACTAAACCCGCCTTCCAGTGAAGCTATCTTACTGCAGCTGGGCATTTCATAACAGTATAAAGCACAATATAATTTTGTTTGATTCTCATATGAAAAAAATTTACCAAGAAAATTTATTTCAACATTTAGGATATGTAATGTCATTTTCAACTTGCTTTAAAGGGTCGGTTAATAAATAAATTAGAATAGTTCGAGGTTGCTTATTCTCTTCTGAAATGTCATTCATTGGTATTGTTTTGTGATTTACTAATGTATTATATTCATTAACTTATAATGTTACTACAATTGTTATGCCCATATACAATACTTTATAAATTTTGAAATGTTAGGAATACTTTATTAATATTCTTGTACTGTTTTATTACCGTAGAATCTTTATCTAAAAATCATACAAATAGTTCATTAGGCTGGAAACAATTTTACTTTTTAATTTATGCAACTAGTGTTACAAATTGGCAATATGATAATACTGGATTGTTTTCTGAATAATACTGAAATGTTTACTGCCAATGTTTTCTGGGACAAGAATTCTGTAAGCTTCTGTGAGTTACATCTCTTTTTTGAAACAAATTATATTGATTTATGCTCTTCATGATAATATTCATAAAAATGCTGATTATTTAATCAGAAATCTGTTCCTAAAATAATATTTCATGTTTAGCTATTTACACATGCAGATGCTATACAGATGTTGTTTCATTTCTGTATGGCCTCTGAGTATGATCTCCATTTTCAAAACTAAATATCTTGGTCAATTTTTGTTGGAGCCACACTTTTCTTGTATTATGCTTTTTATGAAGAGTATAACATTTTCCGTGTATAGGGACTAAGGAAACACTTCTTTTTAACTTGATTTTTTTAATTAAAAAATGCCAAAGCATTTATAATTATGTCATTTAAAATATTTTTTTAATATGGAAGTATATGTCTATTATTAAAAGTTTCAAAAATTATAGCTAGCTAAGGACTTTTATGGACACAGTGTATTTTGATAAAACTAAGAAATGGAAGATGATACTGCATCCAAATAATGAATAAGTTATCCTCAACGGTTATTCCTTTTTGTTAAGTTTGAATTTACGTTTTATCTAAAAATTCTTACAAAATTTATGATGCGAGATAAAGTAATGGCAGTGTATAAAGATGCTGCAGTCCTAGTAGTTCCAAGACTTTATCCCTGTTCTCATTGTTTTACCTAATTTAATAAGTAATATTTGTATCTTTAAATAAAATATTTGATTAAAAAATTATTATTATAGTTAATTATTTATTATATTAATTGATTAAGCATTTACTATAAAATTATTTTACATTGAATAATTTATTAAAATAATAGGAAGTGAGCAGTAACATGTTAAATAATAGTAAATAAGAGGAAAATAGTTTGTTATCTATTAAATAAATCAATATTTCCACAGAAGAATCTCCTGATGGTGCTACAACTGCAGATGAAACTTCTTTTGCCCATGGAGCAGATGTGGCCTTGAAAACAATAAAAGAATGGAACCCACCTCTTTTAGGAGAACTTCCTCCAACATTTCTTAAAATCAATGGAATAGCAGGTGCTAGGACAAGCTCTAAGGTATGCATTAAATTTATATAGCATTGTAAATTATGTGTATTCTAACTGCAGTGGAGTGGATAAGACTTTGATATGGAAACAACTTGAAACTTTAGTAATTTGGGTTGATATTTAAACCTCCTTTATTTTCTTATTACATGTTACCTGCAATGAAAAACACTATAGAACTATTTGCTTTCTTCTTCTTCTGTAGAGAAAGTTTCATTGGTAGCATATCAGATGTGTTTTAGAATTAAGTAATAATAGTAGTAATTTGGAACTTTTGTAATAATATTTAGCTGTTTTGCATTTGGATTGGATTGGATTGGATTATTGTAATTTGGCACAAAACCTGTCAAGGTTATCTGCGCCAGACAAATGGTAACAATGCAATTAGTCATTTGTAAAAACTTCCAGCTTAGGTAAGAAGAGACAGATTACAGTCTATGATAAGAGCTGATATCTTTTAAAAAAACAGGTTAAAGTCTATTATAAAAGCCAATATCTTTTAAAAACAGAAACAAATTACGATGATATGCTTTTCCAATTAAATTTTTTAAGTCCAGTTCTGAACAATTAAAATGTTTTTGGCGAAAAATAATAAAACTCTGGCATTCCACCAAGATATGATGGACTGTCAGATCTGCATTGCAGTTTGGGCAGCTGGGATTCTCTTCTCCCTTCAGAAGATACTCATGGGTCAGGCGACAATGGCCAATTCTCAGTCGAGAGTCAAGAGGACATCTTCCTTTCTATTAGCCATACATGGCCAGTATCCAATGGTGGGTTTTACATTTCTCAGCTTGTTACATACTCTGTCATCCCATTGCTTCTGCCATTTGCTGAGGATTTTGCTTTTGACAAACCCTTTGATGTCTGCTAGTGGAATCTGAAGATTGTACATTGTGGTTGCAGTTTTAGCTGCAATATCTGCCAATTCATTCCCCTTAATGGCAACGTGTCCAGGGATCCACGAATATAGAATCTGGTATCCCCGAATTTTTAAAGAATGATTCAACTTTAGGATTCTGATTGCAACTGGATGAGTACATTGAGCGTGATTTTTCAATGACATTAAGGCACTCATGGAATCTGTGTAGATAATAAATTTTGTGTACTTTTGTTTTGAAAGGTAAGTCAAAGCCAGATGGATTGCAGTAAGCTCAGAAGTAAGCACAGAGCAAACTGTATGTAATCGAACCCCTACTATTGTTTTTTTCTGTGACGAAAGCAGCGCCAACATGATCCTGGGATTTTGATCCGTCTGTATATAGAGGGATATATTTCCTATATTTGTTTCTATGTTGAAAAAAATCTGCTTGTAGATGATTTCATTAGTTTGTGATTTATTCCAGTGTCGAAAAGTATCCAGAGAATGGATTCTCCAATCCTCCCAGGGAGGAATTCCAAAAAAATCCTCCATCTGTATATCTATATTAGACAAATTATACTCCTCCACCAAAGCACTCATCCGCAAGCCGAAAGATGGGACACATGATGGTCGTGCCTGATATAAACGGGAGTATTGGTCATTAAGCAATATTGACCGCGTAGAATTTTCGGTTTGTGATAAGACTTTGAAATAATGCTTAAAACAAAGATTTTCACGTCTTAACCGCAGGGAGGTCTCGTTACTTTCCACATATAAGCTTTCCACTGGAGAAGTTCTAAAGGCACCAGTGCATATCCGAAGTGCATGGTGATGTATCGGATCAAGTTTGGCTAATACTGAAGGCCTTGCCGACCCATAAATGATTGATCCATAATCTAGTTTCGAACGAATGAGAGCTCTATATATAAGAAGCATTGAGCTTCGATCAGCACCCCAAGAAGTATTTGACAGTACTTTCAGAATATTCATAGTTTTTAAACATTTCTTTTTTAGATATGTAATATGGGGGAGGAACGTAAGCTTATGGTCAAATATCATTCCTAGGAATTTTATTTCCTTTTCTACAGGAATCAGCACATCTTGCAGATAAAGTTCGAGGTCAGGGTGAGGAATTTTCTTTCGACAGAAATGTACACACACAGTCTTTTGAGTAGAGAATCTAAAACCATTTTCCTGTGACCATTTAAAAACAATTCTATTGAGAGAAGTCTGCAATTTACATTCGATGTCTTTCAGGTCTTCTCCCTGGCAACTGACTTGCAGGTCATCGACATAGAGCATACCCTGGACTGCTGGAGGCAGTTGTTTTAAAATAGAGTTAATTTTTATACTAAATAATGTAACACTTAATACACTTCCTTGCGGAACGCCCTCTTCTTGATGGAACATGTCAGAAAGTGTATCGCCTATCTTCACATGAAACTTCCGATCCTGTAGGAAATGTTTGATGAATATCGGCATGTTTCCTCGTAAACCATTGTTATATAGGTCACGAAGGATACCGTATCTCCAGGTGGTATCATAGGCTTTCTCTATATCAAAGAAAATGGAAACATAATGATTTCTTCTAACGAACGCTCTACGGATACCTGTTTCTAAGAGTAGGATATTATCGATAGTTGCTCTTCCTTTTCTAAAACCGTTCTGATAAGGGGAGATACAATTATTTGTCTCTAAATAATAAACCAGACGAGTGTTGACCATCTTTTCAAAGAGTTTGCAGAGGCAGCTAGTAAGGGCGATGGGACGGTAATTCGACGGATTAGTAGGGTCTTTTCCCGGTTTAACAATGGGGATGACAAAAGCTATTTTCCAGTCATTTGGAAAGACTTGTTCCTTCCATACTCTATTAAAGAGAAAGAGGATGGTTGCCAATGACTTGGAAGGAAGATGTTTCAGCATAGGATAGGCAATATCATCTGGACCAGGACATGAATTTTTTGTCTGCAGCAGAGCTCTTTTCAGTTCAAGCACAGTAAAATCCTGATTATATGGTTCAGTATTGGGAGAGTTGAAATTAATTAGTTGTTTTTTCAATGCATTTTTTTGCGGAAAGAAATTCAAGAGGGTAGTTACTACTGTGTGAGACGGCTGAGAAACTCTGTCCAATAGCGTTGGCAATTTCTTCCCTACTAGTAACTGTTTCACCACTTGTCTTTAAAATGGAAAGTGTGTGCTCTTTGTAGATACCGGACGCTTTCCGGACTCTCTCCCACACCTTCTTACTCGAAGTTGAAGAGCTAATCGAAGACACATACGAGATCCAAGAATTCTTCTGACTTTTCCTTCGCACCTGCCGAGCTTTTGCTTTAGCCCTTTTGAATATTACGAGATTTGATTCTGAAGGATATCGCCGAAAAATGCTCCAAGCTTTCCTTTGTTTTCTGATGGCGTCCTGGCATTCAGGATTCCACCAGGGCTTTGGGTATTTTGGCTGTTTTACCGAACGTTTTTGGTATACATATATCAGCTGCTTGAATAATTTTATCTGTAATGATCTTCACAGCCTGATCAATGTGCACATTCTTTATTATTTCTTCAGTAAAAAGAGCATAATGTAAGAAAAAATCCCAGTCGGCTTTGTCCAACAAAAAGCGTGGTGTTCTAGGTAAACACACTCCTGTTTCCTGTAATGCTTATGATAATAGGAAAATGATCGCTATTATATAGATAATTCTCGACATTAAAGAAACAAAAAGGCAAAAGCTGTGGAGAAACAATAGCAAGGTCAATGGAATGGAAGGTCCTTGTTGGCTGATGAAAATAAGTGCTTTCTGCTTTGTTAAGGATACAGAGACAGTGGTCGTGGAGTAGCTGTTCAATTTGCTTTCCTCGTGGGTTTGGTGTCTTTACTACCCCACAAGGGATTGTGTCCATTGAAATCACCGACTAGAATAAACGGAGCTGGTAGTTGGGCAATTAGATCCTCTAAATCTCTTAATTAATGTTCTCATTAGGCGGGATGTAAATACTGCACAGTAGTCAGTGTACTTGTGTGATCTGGGCGTAACTGTTCACCACTTGTCTTTAAAATGGCTCTTTATAGATTTACTCTGTTAAAGAGCTAAGTAGAAGACACATTCGAAATCCAAGAATTCTTCTGACTTTTCCTTCGCACCTGCCGAGCTTTTGCTTTAGCCCTTTTGAATATTACGAGATTTGATTCTGAAGGATATCGCCGAAAAATGCTCCAAGCTTTCCTTTATTTTCTGATGGCGTCCTGGCATTCAGGATTCCACCAGGGCTTTGGGTATTTTGGCTGTTTTACCGACGTTTTTGGTATACATATATCAGCTGCTTGAATAATTTTATCTGTAATGATCTTCACAGCCTGATCAATTTGCACATTCTTTATTATTTCTTCAGTAAAAGAGCATAATGTAAGAAAGAGTCCCAGTTGGCTTTGTCCAACAAAAAGCGTGGTGTTCTAGGTACGAACACACTCCTATTTCCTGTAATGCTTATGATAATAGGAAAATGATCGCTATTATATAGATAATTCTCGACATTAAAGAAACAAAAAGGCAAAAGCTGTGGAGAAACAATAGCAAGGTCAATGGAATGGAAGGTCCTTGTTGGCTGATGAAAATAAGTGCTTTCTGCGTTGTTAAGGATACAGAGACAGTGGTCGTGGAGTAGCTGTTCAATTTGCTTTCCTCATGGGTTTGTGTCTTTACTACCCCACAAGGGATTGTGTCCATTGAAATCACCGACTAGAATAAACGGAGCTGGTAGTTGGGCAATTAGATCCTCTAAATCTCTTAAATTAATGTTCTCATTAGGCGGGATGTAAATACTGCAGACAGTAGTCAGTGTACACAGTTACCACTGTGTGAGACGGCTGAGAAACTCTGTCCAATAGCATTGGCAATTTCTTCCCTACTAGTAACTGTTTCACCACTTGTCTTTAAAATGGAAAGTGTGTGCTCTTTATAGATACCAGACGCTTTCCGGACTCTCTTCCACACCTTCTTACTCGAAGTTAAAGAGCTAAGTAGAAGACACATACGAAATCCAAGAATTCTTCTGACTTTTCCTTCGCACCTGCCGAGCTTTTGCTTTAGCCCTTTTGAATATTACGAGATTTGATTCTGAAGGATATCGCCGAAAAATGCTCCAAGCTTTCCTTTGTTTTCTGATGGCGTCCTGGCATTCAGGATTCCACCAGGGCTTTGGGTATTTTGGCTGTTTTACCGACGTTTTTGGTATACATATATCAGCTGCTTGAATAATTTTATCTGTAATGATCTTCACAGCCTGATCAATGTGCACATTCTTTATTATTTCTTCAGTAAAAAAGAGCATAATGTAAGAAAGAGTCCCAGTCGGCTTTGTCCAACAAAAAGCGTGGTGTTCTAGGTAAACACACTCCTATTTCCTGTAATGCTTATGATAATAGGAAAATGATCGCTATTATATAGATAATTCTCGACATTAAAGAAACAAAAAGGCAAAAGCTGTGGAGAAACAATAGCAAGGTCAATGGAATGGAAGGTCCTTGTTGGCTGATGAAAATAAGTGCTTTCTGCGTTGTTAAGGATACAGAGACAGTGGTCGTGGAGTAGCTGTTCAATTTGCTTTCCTCGTGGGTTTGTGTCTTTACTACCCCACAAGGGATTGTGTCCATTGAAATCACCGACTAGAATAAACGGAGCTGGTAGTTGGGCAATTAGATCCTCTAAATCTCTTAAATTAATGTTCTCATTAGGCGGGATGTAAATACTGCAGACAGTAGTCAGTGTTCGAATGCTCAACTGTACTGCAACTGCTTGGAGAGGAGTATCCAAAGGGAAGAGCACTCGAAGGGCAATTAATTGAGGTGAGTAGACAGACACCACCACTTGCGCGTTCACTGAATGTCTTATCCTTTCTTGTCATCGAGTATCTACGTAGCTTTGCAAAATTACCAGGTTTGAGGAATGTCTCTTGTATCGCTATACAAATAGGTCGATATTTATTAATAAGTTGCTTAATGCCATCAATACCCTGATAGAAGCCCCGGCAGTTCCACGAAATGAGAGTAGCCATTAGGAATGTTTATTGCTTCGATGCTGTTTCTTTGTTTTGTGAGGTAGAACATTTTTCGAGAGATCTCTGCCTCCATCTGTTTCCATCTCAGATTCGATAAAGTCTGAAAAGGTCCCTTCAATAGAGCTTCGGCTTGAGCTTCTCTTTTCTGAGCTTTTGATTTTCTTTTTTGAACTCTCTGTTTCTTGTGTTTTTATTTCTCGACTTTCTATTGTCTGTTTGGGAGGAGGTAGAAGAAAGACTTTTTCTTTGTCATTTGTTTTTGGTTCAGGTATCTTCTTCTTCTTCTGTGTGCTATGCGATGTTTGTGTACTTATTGACCGATATGATTTAGTGGCTTGTGCATAGGAGACATTTGCTTTTGACTGACCCGTGCTAAAAAGTTTCTTAGCTTCAGGATAGGAGATTTTTCTTGTAGTCTTAATATGCTGTATTTCTTTCTCTTCTTTCCACTTAGGGCAGTTTCGTGAGTATGCTGGATGATTGGCCATGACAGTTTGCACATTTTGGATCAGCTACACAATCCTGACTTTCGTGACCACCTGCAGAACAGCGAGCACATGCCAGGTTTCCCCGGCATGCGGCCTTCGCATGGCCAAACCGTTGACACTTGAAGCAGCGCAGTGGGTTCGGCACGTAAGGTCTGATGGGGCAATTCAGGTAACCTGCCTTAATGGCTTTCGGTAGCTCTGGAGAGGAGAAAGTCAAAATAAGATGTTTTGTGTTGACGAGTTGCCCGTCTCTACGGACTTTTATTCGGCGGATGCCACATACATTTTGCTCGGTGAGTTCTTTTGAAAGTTCATCCTCAGAGACTGATATCAAGTCTATTTTGAAATGACACCTCTTGACGTGTTCAAAGACTTATGTGGGGATACAGTAATAGAATGTTCCCCCATTTTGGTCATACAGTAATAGAATGTTTCCCCATTTTGGTCATTTTTAGGAGAGAGGAAGATTGTGCATCAGATGTAGTCTCGATGAGCAGAGATCCTGAACAGAGCTTTTTTATGTGTTTTGGCTCGCCTGCTGAGGCCACAATATGCTTATGGATGAAGAATGGTGATAGATTTTCTAGCTCACCATTGATAACTAAGAACTTTGGACATTTGTTTGTGCTAATTAAGGTCGAAGTACAAATTCTTTTAGCAGCTCCAGAATTTTTCGTATCCATATGGTTAGGAGAAGAAGTTAAAGTTTTCATATTGAAAAGAGAGAAGGTTTCGGGCCCGACCGCCCCACCCACCATGGAGCCCAACAAGGGAACACAGATCCCTGTGTTAGGGCTAGCCGGGCCTATACGCAAACTGAAGCCCCACAGTCGGCTTTCCCAAAAGCGGAGACTTCCGAGAGCTTATCCCCTAGCCACTGACCAATAGGACTAGTGGCCAGCCGATTGACACTAGCGGGGACAGCTAAGTGCCTCCCGTTTTAAGTAGAAGCAGAGGCCAAAGCAGTGTGTTGGGGACAGTACCTCGCCCCTCAACTGCCAGGATCCTCCTTTCCCACCCTACGGGTCACCATGCACGGCAAACGCATAGGCGGTATTCTCACCATGGTGAAACAGAAACTAAGAGTAGTAGCTGCATCTCACAGTGAGCCCCAACCTCCAGTAGAGGAAACCACAAGGGAGAAAAATAGGAGAGAGAGCTAGACAAGAGGAGAGGAAAGAGAGAGGAGGAAAGGTCACTGGGGCCCCGGGAGTGTGATACCCGATCACCAAGACGGCAATCCCCTGAGGGTTCTTCACCTGCTATGCTTTAGCTGGGCATGTTAGAACGGCCTTCACGCCTAGGGTGGCCCTACCAGGAGCTATGCTCCCGACGTACTTCACCCGTTCCGCCCAGTGACACCCCCCCCGGCCACATTGAGGCAGCATAGCAGGACTTTGGGGGGTTAGCATTTGGAATCCTTGTTAAATTGTGTTGTTTGTTAAATAAAATTCAAGTGTAAGCACATATAGAGACTTTTAATTATTAGTCTTGCTTCGTATAGATTTCACAAAAATAGGAGCAGCTATATTATCATTAAAATTATTTTTTATATAATTCATTTCTAAATAATGCTTGTAAATATGCAATAAATACGTCAGTTTTAAAATAGGTTGCATATTGCACTATTTTTAATTATCTTCGTTAATTGCAGGTAAATGCATATAACTGGGAAAAGTTTAAGTGATGCTTAACCATTTCAGTTTTTTTCATTGTTGTGCTGGAAAAAGAATAGTCTTAATATATTGATAAATGTATATGAAAAATATATTAATAATTATAATATATATATGAGATACGATAATTAGTGAGTTTGTGAATGATCTGTATGGTCACCAACAAGTTTGTTAAAATGTACTGCTACTTGTATATTAATGCAACCATCTTGGCACAATTTAGCAATTTTTTACTTTTCAGATGCAAGTGAGCAATGTTCACATTTTTTTTTTTTTTTTTTTTTTTTTTTTTTTATAAAAGGTTTCCAAATTATACATATTTGTCATAAGTCAGCAATCATTATCAACATACAACAAACAAACAAAAGCTTTTTAGCAATAAAATACAAATTATTAAGTAAAGATTATATGATAGATTTAAAAAAAATGAAACACATTTTTCTTGAAATTTTTCACTGTTCTCGCTATGTACACTGTGATTTGTTTTTGCTCAAAAAATGTCAGAGAATTGCACACACTTGGCATTTCGTGCCAGCTATCTATCAAACGTATCTTTTTATTTTTCTCTTTAGTGATTTTTTTTTTTTTTTTTAAATGAAAAAGAAATTTTACCACTGTTTTTTCCATATCTAGCAGTTCGCAAGTGCATATTTTAAAATTGAGTTTAAAGCCAAAAATATCATTATTTATCAAAAAAAACCATTGGAACTTAGAGAACACAGAAAATGAATGCTTATGAAAATTGTTAGGCTGTTTGACTAAAGGATTGTTATTAGCATGATTATGCACTTGGTTGCCAAAGTTTGGCATAGTCTGAAAATCTGTTTACTTTTACTTAAAGTGGCTGTGATATTATACTGTGATATAATACTTAAAGTGGCTGTGATATAATGCCTGTGAGAAACTTAATATACTGAAAGTTATTGTGTTGCAATATTATGTTTCAGAAAGTTACTATTTTAAGTTCAACAATTCTTCAGCAACGTATTGAAGAGAATGAGAGAAAGCGGCATGATAATACAAATGTTAAAGATCCAGAACTTGTGCAGTATTTAGAAGATGAAAGAATTGCACTTTTTCTACAAAATGAAGAATTTTTCCAAGAATTAAAAGATAATAAAGAATTTCTTTCTACATTAGAGCGAGGTAAAATCCATTATTTTATTTTTTGCTAAAAGTTTTAGCATTATTTACATTTAATGTATGTTTTACTTTGATAAATAATATTTATTGCTTGATGCTTGTGCTATTGTTAATGTTTTTCATACAGTACTACCATTTGTTTTACTTATTGCATACTTAAATGATAATTCTAAGAAATGTTAAATAGCAGTTACTGTAGAGTCCAGCAAATTCGACCTAGAGTGAGTGGACTGAGAAGGTGACATGAAATGTGAAGTTTTACGGAAGAAGGGATGGGTTGGTAACAACTCTTAATATTTCTTTCAACATCTAAACCCATGCCAATTTTTTTAATACTTTTCTTTTATTGGGTTAATTTATTTTATTTTCATCTCGTTCAATATTGTCATTAAAACAGCCACAAACACAACACTTTTAAGCCTGTATATGAACTTAGAAACTTTAGAATGAACTGAAAGTTTAATCTCAATAAGGTATTGCCATAAACCTTCAGGCCAGCCTGCTAATGGCTAACAACAGACGAATGCGAGTTTTAACTGACAGTGGCTACCCAACTTTCTTTAGCAATGTTGTTTGTTACCGAGTGGAAGAATAAGCTAAATTGGAATTTCCATGAAAAGAGGAAAACCTGTGACCAAATATGTTAAACAAGTTCAAAGAAATAAAGTTTCAAAGCAATAGAGAGGGAAAATTGCAAAATTAGAGTAATATAACAAAGCTTTGAACAGAACAGGAAAATATGCAGACATTCATGCATTAAATATATATTATAATTATATAAAACAGTAATTAAAATGTATTATTTACATCACATAGGGATATTGGAAATTATTAGTTGAACTGTTAATAAATCACCACATTATTTCGAAGATAATATTCTGCTTGAGCTATAAATATCATTTAATGATTAAAGGAAAGGAATGTTGAGTCTTTCTGGTATTTTGCTGTAGTATAGCCCAGCAATGGTGAAACAGTAAAGTCTCTGACCACTGGTAGTTTAGTCTATGGTTCGGATCCTGGTAAACGCTCTGTCTACATGAACATTTTCATGGTTTTCTCTATATGAAATAGATATGGGAATCGATTTCCCTTAGAAAGTCCTCCACAAAGGCATCCCTCCTCTTCAGCCCTCAAATTCTTTGCCATAATCAAATAAACCAAACCAACTCTACTGTAATTATTAACTTTATTAACTAGTTATTCTCCTTCTCTCATAAGAAAATAGAGAAATCTTTCACTTAATATAATTGTAAATAACATATTTTTAGTTAGCATAATTTAATAAGCTGTATTTCCATTTAATTTGGGGGGGAATTTCATTCAACATAATCTAAAGAGTATTTTTCATAGTTTACAATCACAGTTGTAGAATATGTTGGGTCATCCAGTAAGTTCTTCAGTTTTTTTATGATTAATGAAGAAATAAAGAAAATAAAGAAATTTTGTTGAACTGCATAAGCACTATTTAGTTCAATGGCTTTTTTGCCATCTCGTCAGCAACTAAAAAATTCTTTAAAAAAAATTAGGTTTATTCATAAAGAAGTTTTCGAAGTGTTGTTTGACAATCTCCAAAGAAATGAACTTCAGGCCATTTAAAAAGTTTTGAAATAACTTTAAAGAAATGAAAATCCAAGGGAGCAAAATCTGTTGAATGGAGGTATGACACAAAATATTCCAGCTGTACTGTAATTCTTTATCAAACATTCATCAAAATGTGGAGCCAAGCATGATAGGAAGCAACACCTTGATAACTGGTCAGTTCCACGCACTTAGCTTCAGTTTCAGCTTTTAAAACACCCATTTGGGAATAGCATTTTTTAAAATTTTTTATCTGATTTGGGGGCATACATTTCCTTTGTGGTTCCAACATACACAAAGCATTACTTTCTGGAAATGCAGTCCCCCTCTTGATGTTGCTAAAGGGAGCCCTTTTGGCATACCCCATGATCTTCTAACATTATTATACAGTATCCATTTCTCATTTCCAGTATTAAGCCATTTAAAAAAAAAAAAAAAAAAACTCCTTATTTGTTTTCAGCAAACATATTCTACACTGTTTAAATATTGGGTACCCATACATTGTAAGGGACTGCATTCTGACTCCTCTTCAAATGATCGTACTGTACCTTATATTTAGTCTGTCTACAGAGAATGATGGTCCAGAATGTGTATCATTTATTAGGGTGAGTTTTTTCTCCCTTGAACTTTTCAAATTACTTTCAGCCTGTATCATCAAAAAATGCCTTTTGTCCATACACAATGCAAATTTTATGAGCATGCTGACTAGTATTTTTTCCTTTTTTAAAATGAAAGAGCACAATATCATAAAAATGAACTTTGGGGCTCTCAATTATTAGTACTACACTGAAACAAATGTGCGACACAATATGCCAGAATTACACAACGTGAGTAGAAAATACCGTATTTAAACATCTGTGTTAGTCAAAGAGACTCCTTATTTGCAGTAACAAAATAATTAGAAGAAAACATACTTCCATTTTAAGAGTCCTTAAAAGTTCTTAGATTTTTTGGAATCGATTTTTGGTCCTTAAAAGTCCTTAATTTTAGCCAAAATCAGCAGACGGTCCTTAATTTTAATCATCTGAAATCATCTGTTTTTACGACTGCCATTTTGAGTTTGAATTAGCATTTTGGAGGAATATTTTTGGCGATTCATTGACGTATTTTTTGAATGGGTTCATGGGTTATAATTTGTTTCTATTTCTAATATAATAGTGATGGGATACTCGAGGTTCTAAGCAAGAAGTGAAACATAAGCATAGTAAAATTCGTTTTTTTCTAACAAAGAGCCCTTAAACAATTTTTCGCTTTGGGGGATGTGAATTCTTTTATTAAACGGTTCTAAATTTGGCGACTTATCAACATTTTGGCGATTTTAAGATCAGCTTCTGTAGAAAATTTTTAATTCTGAGATCTGAGAATTTTTCGACGATTTTTTTTAAAAACATCGTAACACTGAGAAATTCATTAAAATAATGGCAATGTATTGAAATTATATTTAAAAAATAACATTAAAAATTTTTTATTTTTCCGCTTTCATATTATAAAGTTTCATTTTGGCAACTTATTATACAATATTTTGAATCTGACAAATAAACAAGGTATAATATTATAAAGCACAATTTACGAAACAGCTCTTAGCAAAAGCAAAATTAGCTATGTAATTAATTAAAAATGTCTTCTTTTTAATTTTTTCACAGTAAGAGTTTTTTCCATGTAATTGTCTTGTAGTATTTAGAATTCTTAGAATATGCATCAGTTTTTCTCTATAAAATTAGTTTTACACTTTTTCCCTCCCCCTTTTTTTTTTCCAAACTATTTCTGGCCTTTTGCTGTTACAAAATTGGTAGAGATATTTTTTTTTTTTTTTTTTTTAGAATTTTAGCATTTTTGATGTTTTCCATGCTTGTGTCTAGTGAATTCGAGAAATTGCAGCTTGGAAAGTTTAGAAAGATTTGAAGGCAAGATTTATAGATCCGCGACTCTAGAAGATTCGAGAAATATGTGACAAAATGAAAAATGTCTCCATGGTATCAACACGTAATTGATGTATTTTACAGAAAGTTTGCAATAAATTTCTTACTTTTGGAGAACGTCTGGAAGAACAATGAAAACATAATATTTGAATGTTTTACTTCTGATAATAGAATCTTAACATGTTTATCTTCCCTTTATTTTCTCTACTTTTCATTAGACACAAGCATGGAAAATATCAAAAATGCTTGTAATCTTACCACATGGGCAGGCATTATAGAAAGGGATTTTTTTATTAATAAAGAAATTGAAAACTTACAATTTAAAAGATTAATCTAATATGTCTTAATGCACCATACTCATAGCTGGCACTAGAAATATTTCCCACTTAATGCAATCTCTGTGAATCCTAAATTCTGTTGCCTAGTGCCTTTCTAAATGCATCCAATGCCAGCTCTAAATTCTAAAAGTTTTGCCATTTATAGATTTTGTTGTTTGGTGTGTCATTCAGTTCTAAAAATTCTGCCACATCAGCTCTGTAACTGGGCTTTACCATATATATTTCATATTTCTTCTGAATATTCTTATTACTAAAGAAATAAAATTAGTTGCCTTTTTCTGTACATTGTAAATGCATTAATGCATTTTGTGTCTTTTAGAATAACAGAAATCCTTAATTAAATCCAAAAATTCTAAAATGTAAAAGAAACGTGTTGAAAAAAGAAACTAAATAAAGAAAACTATTCTTCAAAGATATGTGCAGTTATTATTATATAAATTACCCAATTATTTATGATTTCAGCCTTTACTATAATTTGCCGTTTCTATTTCCTCATATAATGGAGTTATTGAGCCAACCCTCTGAGCGGTCAGGGTTTTCACTAAGAAAGCACAAATCTTCCAAAACTACTATGAGAACAATTATGCTTTTGATTTTAATGTAAAAATTCTCCTGGTTTTTACATACCTGGATTTGTGTACTTTTGATATATTGCCTCAATTTCTTTGACATATTTTAATATGCACATATATATACATTCTTACAGATATCACAAAAAATATTGCCGCTTAGAAGGTTAAATTAAAACTAAATTATATAATCTTTGACTACTTGTCCACATTTTTAGTTTGAATTTGATTGTTCTTGTTTAATTACGTCACCGTGAGCTGTAATTGATTTTGTTAGCATCAGAACATGCCTTTATGTTTTAAGTTCTTTTTAAATAAGAGGCTTATTTAAACTTTTGTCTGATATTGCAGTTACTTTCAGACATAGTGATAATATGCTTCATGTCTGTCAAGGGGGTTTGGACTATTTAACTTTTACCAGATCAAATACATTGTACATTGTGGTACATACCTCATAGGTACATTGTGGAGAGGTTGACAAGTTAGGAGATAAAGCACGCAGAAACTAGCAAAAGCATTGGTTTTTGCATATTGAGACAAATCCGTAATTGTTAGAAAAGATGCTTAAAGAGAAAAAAATTGATATAAACTAGCCAAAA